GGATGTAGAGAAACTTGAAGAAAATCAACAATTGGCGACCATAACCATATAAAATATAAGTAGTAACTCAATAGTCACTATCTTTCAGTTGCTTCAAATTAGCCCATCATCAATTTAAAACAACACTCCGGTCTCTACACTACAATTCCATGAAATCTAATACCAATTAGCCACAATACATCTTTATCGGATCACTTTAATTGACTAATATCTTGTAAATAATAGCACCGCACATTTCAATATACAACGCGTGGCCCCATTTATGTTGAAAATATCCAACTTTTTTGTCTTCACATAAATTTCTGGCTGCTTATCATAAATTTATAATTTCCTTATTTTCATTTAAATAATTTTTTTGGTCCAAATTAATCATTTTGAACCTCGTCTTTTGGTAATGAGAGACATAAGACGGACTTAATTGAGTGTATTTTGTCGTTAATTCCGCGGAAGAGGAAAATGGCTTGGACGGTTGGACCGATTGATCTGGATATGATTTATATATCGGGAGAGTTAACTAAATTAATTGCTAGCTAATGTTCTGTCATTGATTCCGTACCTCAAGTCTTCTACTTAATTTATGAATTAAAAATTAAATAAAGTCGAGAATCAGAGGAAAAAAAGGACAAAAAATGTTTTTGTTTGGTAGCATTTTATAAATATTTAAAAGAATTAGGACGTTTGGTGCAAAATAGACGTGTCACTTAACCACAGCAACAGCCAAAGATTCTTAAGAAATATGACTGAAACACGGATTTTTAAATGAATAAAGTGTAAAACTTTATTATAGTTGTTTAATTTAGAGTTGTAACTATGTTTTGTTAGGATAATCTACAGGTCTTCATATGCATAGAAATAATTAATAATGAAACGGTGGATAATGGAGTACTAAAATGTATATAGTTGTTTTTTTCATACGAGGATGACAAATGCAATGTACTAGTTTCAAAAGTTATACGAGCAAGTAGAACGTGATGAACATTTACGTCTATTGATCTCGAAAAACGTACATCCATCGATCCACGTGGACAACAGATCTTGACCTCACACTCAAATGGAGAAATCGAAAAACGTACATTCATATTTAGCACGTCTCACACTCAAATACTTATTCACAAATACACTGACTTGACTATCGGAGTGCTCGCGAATGCCTCCCCCACTATCGAAAATGGCAGCGTGCTCTAACGGTTTGTTCAAGTGTAAAGGAAGAAGGCTACGTGGACATGAGTGGAATAGAAATCTGTTGACCATAAAATTCTTGCGAGAATCGAGGTTAATATATGTTGTACGTGATTTCACACTAATAGTTTGATTGCCCAAGTGTATCAATTTAAGCATTACACTAATGACGAGTTTATTATTGGAACAAAATAACCCAAACTATCAACTAGTGAATTTCGAATATCTACACTTGTTGTATTCCTCAATAGGTATGCACTTCAATTACTTCATTACCAAAATAATGTAAAACACAATAAGAACACATGAAGTTGATCAACAAGATAGGCGTTCTCTTTGTAAATGTGCATTGGAATTTGGATGAATTTCCCATAATTTCTTTAATAAAATAATGCTATCTAACGCTACTGGTGTTAGATTACCAGTTTAGGTGATCACATTTATTAGATCCAATTAAATAGATCATTTGACTCTATATTTAAATGAATCTATCATTTAATACTCCCTAATTGTCACTTAAACTGTTGCTAAGCATCAGTGAGAATGAATAACATTACTCGTAATTTAATGATTTTGCTAAGTAATATGTTATTTATTCAAATTAAAATTTTTATTTAAATGAGAGAGACGTAATATTTCGATTTC